GATAAAACAATAACTTTGGAACCTTCCTTGGAGATGAGTTGAAACATGGGATGAAATGATAAATGAATAAACTGAGCAGTCAGAAACCAGTGATGCCTGTGACTCATAAGAATTACTTATTAGCTTGGCCTTGGCTGCACATCCCAGGCCCTTCTTTTAGTATCCAAGGCAGTAGGATGAATCTATATATGAACAAAGTACAATGATCTACACATATGAAAATATCATTAACAAAACACATTACATTGTATGCTAGTTGATAAAAGTTAACAAGAATATATGACCCGAAAACAAGGAAGAGTATTCAGGGGAAGAAGGGGACTGGCAGGAGAGGGGAGGGGTGACCAGAGGTGATGGGGTTGAGTATAAACAAAACACAATGATGCACCTATATGAAAATGTCATAATGGAATCCAGTGTTTTGTATTCTAACTGAAAAAAATAGTAAAAGAAATTTAAATAGAAAAAAATAGAAGTTGTTCATAGTGTGGTGGTGATGTCAACTAGATATTAAAAAAATAAATAAATGGTGAGATCTTGAACAGAGAATATATGCCTACGTCTGAAGTTTCCATGAGAAATCTGGTTGCTCTGATGGCATATCAATGACAAAGCATTATATAAAAACTCGTGAAAATATACTCAAATTCCAGCTCTGAAGAGCAGAAATGTTTAACATCTTAGAAGAGGAAACAAGATCAACCAAAGAAATAGCAAACGGAGGCTGGAGAGATTGTTCAGCAGTTAAGAACACTGGCTGCTCTTGCAGAGGCCTCAGGGTTCAGTTAACAACTATTCTTAGCTCCAGTTCCAGGGGATCCAACACCCTCCTCTGACCTTTGTGGACATTACACAACACGGGTGCACTTACATACATGCAGGCAATATACTCATACACATGAAATTAAATAATAATAAAAAATAAAAATCTAAAAAATGAAAGAAATAACAAAGGAATGTTCTAAGAAGTGGGACAAACTCAAGAGAAAGTAGTATCTTAAAACCAAGAACAGAACAAATTTTGAAGTTTTAAGGGGAAAAAAAAGATCATCAGAAATCATTCTTGTGAGAACATAAGGACTGAATTGATGGAATGTAAGTTGAATATGAATTTCCTTAGAACAAATTCAGTGGCCCACTGGGGACTGATGCTAGTCACCCTTCACTCCAAAGGGAATATGGTGTGTTAATCTAATAAGACATTAGCCTTGGGTGTCTGTAGGTGGAGACATATTTATAGACAGGGAGGACGAAGTGAAAGGAGGTTACAGACAGTTTCAATTGTCTCTGAAGGAGACAGAGATGGTCAGTCTCTCTGAAGGAGACAGAGGCGGTCAGTTTTAGAGGAACAACAAAAATTTAGACATAGCTGTTTGGGACAATGGTGGTAGGAATTAAGGAAAGACATCTTTAAAAAGAAAAATGGACCAAGGCTTTAACTAAAGGGTAAGATTGTACAGTAATACAGAGTTAACCAACACCAAATATTTTGGCAGTCAGTTATTTTGGTGAAGGAAGGGAGAAGTCACGACCATGTTGATCCAAAACTGTATTTGCAAAGCAGATAGGTAGAATGAAGACCTAATGAATCTAGCAAACATGAGTCTCTTTGAACATACCAACTATGTTCAAAAGGAATTTATCATCTTCTGCCAGACATACTGCATTCCCTAGAGGCTCCACACCCTGTAGGAATAAGGCCATTCTAGACCCCCCTCTCTCTCTCCGTTCATGTTCAATCCCCTCTGTTCTGTCTCTTTAACAGCAGACCTACATTTTCACCGCTCTGTGCCTTTGCACAAGCAGCTACTTCTGCAGTGAACCATTCTGCCTTCTTTTGCGCAAATTCCCTCTCATCTTTGCTAACTTAAGTCATCTTTCACCTCCTCCTGAAAACCTTGTCTCATGATCTCATTCCCTTCACTCTTCAAAGCACAGCATGTTGAACAAAATAGTACTTAAAAACTTTGACTGTAATTTTCTATTATACCCCGCCTCCATCTCTTGCCTATAGAACCAACAGGATTTTTTTATTTCAAGTACCCAGAACAGAACTGCTTACTGAACTAATAAATAATTATATAAGGACTAAAATGAAAAATTAAAAGGATAGCATCTGAGAGTAAGAATCTGAAGTAATTTAAAACACAGAGTGATTCACAAAGGACTGCATTAGTAATGTAGAAGAACTGACATTCAATGAGAAGTAGGATGAAAGGTCAACGTCTCTTAGTCTTAGATCCATTATAACATTTCAATGGTACTGCAGCCCAAGCTGTACTTCAGAAGACCTGTCCGATGCTAGTCACAAGCTACCAATTAAAGGGAAACATCACTTTCAGCTTTAATAGCCTCAGCTTCTGCATGAGTAAGAAACCAGGGTAGGAGAAAATGTTTCTTTGTCTGGAGAAATGGAAGGGAAGCTTTCCTTAAATGCTTATGGGATAAACATGTGGCATGCTAGCAATGACTTACTAACTCCTAGAATTAAAATGGAATTGTAGATAGCTATGTTTAAATAAATAAAATTCTGACTCAGTCATCTTGCTATAAAGAAAAACATTCAGAAAGAAATCTAGAAACCAGTGATGAGTGTTCATGTGATAGCAGCATCTACCTTCAAATAGCAGCATATGACTCCAGCTCTGTAAACCTCCCTCTTAGAATGATGATTTATTCCACATGAATTTCTATGCACATGGTTCACTAATTTATTGATACAATTTGTCTTTATATTAATACAGATGTGTGATTAGAGATTCAACATTTAATTATCAGTGGCAAAAAAATATTAGCATTGTTCTAAAATAGCTGACCAAACAAGTTCCTTCAGCAAAACCCTCTCAACAATTTTTCATTTGTAAAATTAGGTTAACAATCTCAGTATTCCAAAATCATTGTAAAAGTAATGCTAATACATACATGTGTATGTGAGGTAACTATCACTGTGCTTAACCTACTATCCGCTAAGTCACAAGGCTCTGTTTTTATTTTATATAATTTTAAACCAATTCAGTGTCTTTGAAGAAGACATTTCCCATTTGATTTTGTGCATTCTGTGAAAAATACAGATAATATACAGGAATATGTATCAATCACATGTATACTGACATATGTAGGGGTTGTCTCTCCAATGTGTAGCTGTCCACGTGTATGGACTTCTAACCGATTCAATAAAATTAAGGACTTGGCTGATTAATTTCACAGTGTTAAAAAGGAAATGTCTATTATTTTGAAGCTAAAAATACAATACAAAGAAAATTACCCCAGGTTTATATTTAGTTGAAATCATTTAGCAGAGCTAAATAAAGACATTTCATTATGTATTCTTGAACCATTATTGGGATTTTTCTACTGTCAAAATAGGTGACATTAATTATACCATACTAAAGGTCACATGTTTTGGGTTTTAAAAATTGAATTGTCAAAACATTCTGATAAAATTGACTTTGATTTTGCTATAACTCACACATATAAGTGAAGAATAATTTTTAATTAATATTTCGTTTTTAAAATAAATTCAGAGAAATTAACTTAGTAGGCCTGAGACTACTATCCTTAAAAATCTCTTCTTGCAAGGTTGGCCTTTACCTGGTATCTGAGAACTTCAGTAGATTTTAAATTTTTATTTATTTATTTATTTTTTTATGCATGCTTTGCCTTCTTGTGTGTAAGTGCATCCATGTCATGCAGTGCCCACAGAGACCAGAAGCGGGTCTCAGATATCTCAGAACTGAATTATGAAGTGTTGTTAGCCAACATGTGAGTGCTGGGAACCAAATCAAGGTTCTCTACAATAGCAGCCAGTGCTCTTAACCGCTGAGTCATCTCTCTGGCCCTGAACTTAGGTTTTGGGAGAGTTCCCACCATTCCCTAAAGGAGGAGTGGTTCACTGTAAACTGTGAACAATATAGCTTATGCTGAACATCCACTTTCCTTCTGAGTATTTGGAAGGTTGGTAAGTGATTGACAGTAGGTATCAATGTAGCTATTTCCCAGGACACTAAGTGTTAAGTGAGTACTCACAGTAGACACCCTTTTGCAGGTGTAGTAACAATTTCTTCCTGGAAGACTCTAGCTCGAAAGGACTTTTTGATGCTTATGCCTGGTTTCTCTTGAGTTTTTCCATTTTCCTTTTCCCTTTCCTAAGTGTGATTCATA